TCTGTTCCTGTTTGGCTGTGACTCCATCCTGGAGAGAAATATCAGCTGTGCTGCTGCCATCAACACCTTTGTTTCTAGATGTTGGAGATCGGCCTGTTTTTTAGTGAGTCAACAAGTTGATGCAATCAACTGTTTTTTTTTTAGATAGAAAAACATTTGCTGGACGGACAGCAAACAGCAGCAGATATCCTTCTTTAGTGCGTTCAGTTCATGACTCATATCTCTCCCTGATTTTAGGAAGTAAAGGTAGAAGGAGGAAGGTGTTTATGCAGCACTATATGTTTATAACCTACTACATAACCTATAGAGCAGGGGATTTTTCTCATGCTAATTTTAATCTCTCTTCTATGGAAACATCTAAAACAGGCGATGCCAGATAATTGAAGGTCACTTTCTAAAGAAAATGGTTCTTCCTTAAAACAAACCTTAATTTCGCTTCCTTTGCAAAGTTGACCATTGATGTCGGTCACATGTCACTCAGCTGATCGACATCAAGTCATATGTTGTTAGTCTTCTCAGTTCATGGTGCTTCTTCTAGGACTGTTTGGCTCACCTGTGTTTTTCCCTGCTGGCCGTAAACGATCTTGGTTGGGATGATCTTGGTGGCAGTGGACTGAGATCCACAGCTCATGCCTTTGGGTTGGGTGACGATCATCTTGGTGATGGGCCTGGAGGTGGTGATAATGGCTGGTTTGGTCCCCTGAACTGCCTGCAGCCCCTTTTCTCCCTGTAATGTACATCATCATTACCATAAAATTAGGATTTAGGTATTATTAAAAGTACATGTTCCACATTAATTCAAAATCAAACCTGTAACAATAATTATTCAATGATATTTATTTCTTCCATTGCAGAAGAAAAAAGGAGAGGTTTATTCCAGTGGTTGGGTCACATTTTAAATATGTAGAGAGCACTAAATTAGGCTGCTACCCCAACCTTTCAACAACTTTAACCGGTCTTATTTTGAGAACTGTAGCTTTTTGGTTTCCTTCATAAACTTAAAACCATAATTTGAAGCCAAAGCAGCATTGCTTCACTGAGCAGAAAAGCTACCGGCCACAAGCTAAAAAGTACTTCACAGAAATAATTCAATTAAATCCATGCCATCGTGGAGCGCTCAGGGAGCAATGTGGGGGTTAAGGGTCTTGTTCAGAGACCCAGAGTGGCAGTCTGTGGGAGTGGGGCTCAAACTCAGAACCTCTGGATTCCTAGCCCCGTGAGACCATCCTGATCTCGCGAGCTTTCAAGGTTTCACTCACAGATCAGTGTGGAGACTCTCCGTTGAAAGAAATTTGGAGCCGTTCACCAAACGAACGTCCAATCAGCGTTGGCTTTGAGGCGGGTTGAGGTGTGACGCAACGAGAAGCGCGACAGTTCA